ACTTATAACCATCATCTACTTGTCTGTAAACATTCTGGTCTATATCATCTACGTGTCTGTAAATGCCTTGTCTATATTTTCTATATGTCTGTGAATGTTCTCTATATATTATCTACTTGTCTGTAAAAGCCCTGTGTATATTGTCATTAGGAAATGGGAAAAGCATTGAATGCAGAATGTCTTGGATACTTCCTTTACTAAACATTCCTTCTGATAGAGATCCGTCTAACATTCAGCATTATTTGGCACACTCTACCAGTTGCAAATCCTCCTGATTTTGCCTTAATCTGGGTGATATTTTCCTCCTTGCTCATATGGCTATTAAAATACCTTGTTTGAAGTGCAGGTAAGAAGTAGTTTTGGTGCTGGGCACTGGTAGCACACACCTTTAATCCCAGCATTCAGGAGGCAGAGCCAGGTGGATTTCTGTGAGTTTGAGGAGCGAGATCCAGAACCAAAACTATACAGAGAAACCCTGTCTCAATAAACCAAAAAAGAAGAAGAAGAAGAAGAAGAAGAAGAAGAAGAAGAAGAAGAAGAAGAAGAAGAAGAAGAAGAAGAAGAAGTATTTTTGGCATCTTCATGGTATGCCAGTCCTGCAGCCTTGAAGAAAGGAAGCAAGGCTTCCTTGTATACATAAGGTGGTCCTTTGGATTCCATGAGTTCAACTGTGACTGATGGCAAATTCTCCACCTCTAGAGTTCTGGGAATTCACCATTGACCTTTGGAAAATCAGAAGCGCAAATTCAGATTTCTTTTCACGCCTTCTGTGCTTCACAGAAGCACTTGAGAGGTCTCTTCACGGGTTCTCAGTACCTAGGTGTCCTTCACATGGGCCAGGAAGCCGGGACTCACCAATGCCAGGAGCCAGTTCTACTGCAGAGAAGGGATGGGAACAGAGTCCTTAATGGTCAGCTTCAAGGGACTGGTAGATGACATCACATGTGACTCTGAGCTGTAGGAGTGGGCAGTCTGCCGAAGAGGGGCACAGGGACAGGAGGGAGCAGGTGGGCACCCCCTGCTGGGAAGCAGGAACACAAGATCCACTGGAGAACAGAAAGAAGGATTGTTGGAGAGAATACCAGCCCCAGGCGGTCTGACTCTCAGCCTTGGCGGGGGGGGGGGGGGGGGGGGGGGGGGGGGGGGGGGGGGGGGGGTGGGGGGGGGGGGGGGGGGAGGTATGAGGAGTTAAGGGTCTGGTTTTCAGCATCGCCATGGAAAGAACAGGCAGAGGAGTTGGACAGGAGACAGCTGTTCTGGATAAGGAGAAGGGTGAAAGGTGAAAAGGGGTTAGGATGAATGAACTTTGTAAGGGAAAGTGAAGGACAGCAGCTGTGTGACAGCAACTTCAGGGACTAAGCATTCAGGATGAGGACAGGACATGGCAAGGAGTAAGACGTGGATGGAGGTACAAGGGGCTGGCAGATCAGTGTGAGGGCTAGAGACTTCTGATACTGACTCACAGCCTCCCTCCAGGGAGAACATGACCTCACTAAACACACAGAAACCCAGAGGCACTCTGACCATAAGCAGGAATGCGCTGTGGACAGGCACGACCAGGGCCTTTATTGGGCTTCACTCCCCCAACACACCTCCCAACCCCCGGGAACAGACAGAGTTTATTAACAGGAACTCATCCATCTCCACAACAGGTACCTTTTCAGTGGTGTGGCGCAGACATGTGACATGCCCTGTTTCCAGATTGAAACAGCAACTGCAGGGTAATTATGCATTTAAAAGTCAGCTATGGGCTGGAGAGATGGCTCAATGGTTAAGAGCACAAGCTGCTCTTCCAGAGGTCCTGAGTTCAATTCCCAGCACCTATGTGGTGGTTCACAGCTGTCTTTAACTGTAGTCCCATGGGATATGATGCCCTTTTCTGGTGTGTGTACATGCAGACAAAACATCCATATACATAAAATACATAAATAAATAAGTCTTTGAAAATGTATAAAAGCCAGGTATACTGAAATGCTTATTAGCCAACTATATGTCCAAACTTATCACTCACAAGCATTTTACTGCAGTTGAGTTACTCGATACCAAACATCAAAATTCACTCTAGGCTAGGAGAGACTTCTAGAGCCCTGGGCAAGAATGTCAAACCCCATACATATGCTTCTTCCTATATGTCCACACTCACAGTTATGTTTAATTCATAAACTAGACACAATGAAAGAGTAATACAACCACTAATACAATAAAAAGATAGCAATATACTCTGATGAAAGTTATTTACAACTTAAAGATTGCTTATTTCTGCATTTTCCATTTAATATTTTCAGACTGAAGTTCACGGCAGGTAACAGATCATGGAAAGGGAAATTGCTGCTGAGGGGGAGGGGGGCTGCCGTGCCTTCTAGTGTTACGTTCCAGAGCTAAGCATCGCCTCTTTCTCTCCGAGGCTGCAAAGTGACTCTGGACTTGGATGATTTAGAGGGAGGGAGAGAATAGTTCTGTGTTTCTGTGGTTATGAGAACACAGACATCTGACCTCAAAGAAGACAAAGACTCACACTTTTTGCTTTTATACAGTTCTCTGGGATTTTGATTTGTCCTAGGAGAGAGAGAACATCCACCCCTACTGTACCTTTGAGGCTGAAAAGCTACTTTTACATATGAGCAGTGACGTCTTCTGTGGCCTCAGTCAATAACTCTATCCTTTTGCAACACTTTCCTAAGAAGCACATCCCAATCCCAAGGGACCCAGGAACGTGACCTGTACCTACTTGTGTCTGGAAACAGTGGGGCTGGAGGAAGAGGTCCCACAGGCTGAGAACCAGGCTTCTATGGAGTCTGAAGAGTCCCAGGCCTCCCATCCTCCTTCAAATCCATCCTTTTCTTGCCCATTCTGGTCTAGTATTTGCAGAAGAACTTTCCCCCATCCAGTTCAATTAAGTTAAAAAGTTCATGAGGCACTTGTTCCCTTCCAGCCTGGCCTGAGTGCTTGGTGAAGGAGATGAGTCCTCCTTGTGAGGTCACTGCTGTCTGTCACCGCTGTCTGACGTCTTAGCAGAGAAGGTAGTGTTTGAAGTATCTCCAAGGGCTGCTCAGAACGTCTCAGGGTGGCTACAAGTGCATCACGCAATGCCACAAGTGTGTGGAGTGCTCAGTGCAACCGGCGGTGCACGGTGAGTACCTCTGTGTGTTGGTGGCAGAGACAGCGCATGAGGATCTGGGGGAGGACTTGAGGGGATGTAACTAGAGATGAGGACAGCAGGGGAAGTTTCAGCGGGATGGACAAACAGAAAGAGGGTAGTGATAAGGAAGTGATAAGGACATACCTTCTCTATAGAAACTTAGCTGGCCCTGGCCTGGGAATCACCCCTCCTCTGTGCTCTCAGGGCCCTTTGTCATCTGGTCAAAGTGTATTCTAGCAGTCTGATAACTGGTTTATTTCTTGAATAGTTGCTATTATTACATAGTTCAAAACAAAAATCCTATTTTATATTGAGAAGTCTGGCCCTGCCCTGACTCTGCCCACTCATTCTCCTATACATACCTCTTCTGTCAGGCTGAGTTTGAACAATTACATGTATTAGAGGTTGGAGAGCTGGCTCAGCAGTCCAGGGAACTTGCTACTCTTGCTGAGGACCTGGGTTTGATTCCCAGTACCCAGGTGGTAGGCTCATCTGCATATAAAACCTATTGGATCCATCCAGTGTTGCTAATACTTCCATGTATTTCAGGATGACCACTTGAGACTGGAGAACTTATCAGGGTGCTCTTCCAGGGGAAGACTGATTCTCCGTCTCTCAGCAGCCCTTGATTGCCTGTAGCTGTTCATCTAGGAGTATGTTTGATATTCATATTGTGCCCTATCTAACCAGTAGGAATGTTCCAGCTAATGTTTAAGTCTTTTCATACGTCCTCGTTATTCTGTGAACATTTTTTGGTATAAAAAAATCCGAGTTCATCTTACATTTTCTCTAGACTCAGTCACGTCCCATGGACTCCTGGGTCTTTTAATAGTGCACCATGTCAGGCCCAGGCACGCTGATTTGCATGGGAGCCTTGCTGCTCACAGGCTCTCCACCTCCCTCTGTGCTTCGTCGCTTCCTCCCTCTTGGCCCTCTTCTTCTCCTACACCAGGGAACTACACCACTGTCTCCAGTTCATTCCATTCCATTCCATGACTGGGCCTTGCTTTTCTTTGTCATTGAGGGAGCTGTTCCTGTTGTCCACATGTGGTTTAGTTATTCAACCTAAGGATGCAGCCAGCCACTGGCCTTCCCCTGCCACATGCCCTGATTTCATTTGGATAAGGCATCCCGGCATTAGCCACCTCTGATCAGGGGCATTCAGTCACTTTTATTTACATCCCGTTGGTCAGAACTCAGTCAATAACCTGCCTTATTACAAAGGAGGCCGAGAATCATTTCTGCACTGTGCCTAGGTGAAAACAGGAAACCCTTGGCACAATAGCTGGCCAGTGTCGGCCACACACATAGATGCTATTTCCAGACTGTGATTAATCATTGCATGCCCTGGAGATCTTTCTTATCAGTATACAAAGAACATCCTCATTCCTTTAACAAATCCCAAGTATACCATTTTCTTTTTTTTACATTTATTTGTTCTGTGTGTGTGTGTGTGTGTGTGTGTGTGTGTGTGTGTGTGTGTGTGTGTGTATGTGTGAGCCTGCAGATACAACGTTTCGTCTGTGGAGGTCGGAGGACAACTTGCAAGAGTCACTTTTCTCTTTTCACCATGTGAGTTCTGGGGATCAAACTCAGGTCATCAGATCTGGCTGCAAGCATCCTTATCCACCGATTCATCTCACCGGCCCTGCTATTCTCTTTTCTACATGTGCCATTTTAAAAAATAGTTCCTACTAGATGGGCACTTGGATTAATTGTTGGCAAGCTGGAGTGTATAACCCTCCATAGAGTCATTTCATACTTGTACAGATGGATCTGCAGGATAATTTCCCAGGACAGGAATTATTCAGCTAAGGGGGGAGTACGTTATATTGTGATACATTTACTAAATCACTGCCTGGGGAGGTCCCGGGGATTGAACCCAGGTCCTCATGCACACTAGGCAAGTGCTCTACCACTAAGCTATACCTCTGCCCAAATTATCCTCTTTTGCAAGCATTTCTCTTATTCAGAATTAAGCTCATCGTCCTTTTTTTGGTCATTGATATTTATTTTTCTATCCCTTTATCCATTTCCTTTTTGGTCTTTTGCTTTATAGGATGATGAGATTTTTGCTGTGATAGAAGTTGAATGTGTTTCCCTAGTCTGTTGTCTTTGGAGTTTACATACATTGTTTTTTACATGCAGTAATTTTGACATAATTGAGTTTTCTTTCCTTTTCTGGCATACAGGTTTTGAATGACTGTTGGAAGGCATCCCTTTTGTTGAGAATGGACTAGGGCAAACTAGGGGGCAGGGGCAGCAGGCAGAATGGAGAGAAGGGTGTATTTGTCTCCTACAAAGGATCACATCAATATGCAGGTGGAGTGAGAGAGGGAATGAGGAAAACCGAGGCTTCTGCCAGCCTGTAATGCCGTTCCCCCTCTTTCTGATGGGTTGGGCTAATCCTGGGGTCTAAGAGGTAGAATAGACACCTCCTAAGTAATAGGCCCGGCCAGTGCCCTGATAGTGGTCCCCATGTATCACGGAAAGGTGCAGGGGTTCAAAAACTAGGACAGGAGCTAGCCAAGATAATGCAGGGACTTAAAAATGTCATTCCTAGGCTGGAGAGATGGATGGCTCAGCAGTTAAGAGCATGTACTTCCAGAGGGCCAGAGTTTGGTTCCCAGCGCCTGCATCTTGTAGCCAACAACTAACTACCTGAAAGTCCGATGCCTCTGGCCTCACTCGTGTGCACACACTTATGCACACATATACACACAATTAAAAATGTAACTTTAAAGCAATCAAATAAAATAACATTCCTGAAAGGAAAGGAGCTATCTAAGACAACGGAGATTGGTTTAGAGGAAGAAACAAGTTTGAGGAAGCCGAGATGAGATGATTTCACACAAATATAAGTAATCAGTGAGATGGACCAACATGCACTAACATTGTTAAAAGCCACAAGTTTACTGTAAAAACAAAAATTAGCTTCTGGGTCATCTTTGGATGGTAAAGATAAAACTTATTCTGAAAACTGTAAAACAACAGCAGCAAACAGTGGGGAGATGGATGGATAATTCCATCTACTTTTCCCACAAGAACTACAGCGGCAGAGAATCGTTACCTGGAGTGATGGGAAAAGGCTTCTCTCTGGAGGGATCCCAGCTGTTAAATGCAGATGTTAATACTCACACAACCATTTCATAAACCCTTTATAAGCCAATGAACCTAAGTATGGCTGTCAGTGTCCATGGACATCACAGAATCAGAGTAAACATTATGTGCCTCCTAATGGTATATACGCCATGAAGAAGTTTTGCTCTGAATTGCATCACCTGTTCTGGGCTTATGGCTCTTTTAGGTTACAAGAAATACCTGGGACACTATAACATTTAAAACATGTGGTCAACTATTGACACAAAAACATAAATCTCACCTCAAAGGGAACAGAATTTATTCTAGAAGCAAATGTGAGTAACCTACCGTGGCTCAGGGACACAGATTCAAGTTATCTCAAATACCACGTTCCAACTCTTGACAGTTTTATCAAGTTTTTATAGTAACAGTGTTCTGTTAGGAAAGCCATAAATTAAGGTATATAGTCTTAATATTTCTTATTTGTTTATTTGCTTACTTACAAGCATGTGGGTATGCATGTGTGTACATGTCAGAGTAGGATTTGCAGGAGTCAGTTCTCTCCCTCCAGCATGTGGGTCTCAGAGATGGAACTCAGGTCTTCAGGCTTGGCAGCAGTCACCTTTATCACTAAACCATCTTGTAGGCCCCAAATCAAGACATTTAAAATATTGATTTATTTTTATTCTGTGAGTGTGGGTGTATTTAGACCCGTGTGTATCTGTGCATCATGTGTGCACTGCCTGCGGAAGCTGTAAGGGGCGTTGGGTCCCCTGGAACTGGAGATGATTGTCTGCGGCCATGTAGGTGCTGGGAATGGAATCTGGCTTCTACCGCTGAGCCATCTCTCCAGCCTTAAATCAAGGTATTTTAAAAATACATTGGTGGGAACATTTGTTGGTGATGAGTTACAGTTCTGTCGGGGAACCTCTGCTATAGGCCTCTGATGATATCTGGTGGCATTCTTTGCCTTTGGGTTGGTAGGAGGTGGGAGTCTGTTTACACATTCCAAAGGATTTACCTAATAACCACAAGGATGTTAAATCACAATAAACGGCTATCAGGAGACTAAGGACAGTCCAAGATAACTTGATTCTTAGCCATGAAATTCTGGCTCTCTAGAGCCTCAGATGTTATCATCAGTCAGCCTTGTAGAACGCGTAACAGGTGCGGCTTCTTTTCCAGTTCATACAGACTAATCCAGAATGTGGAGCTCTGTATGGAAAACAGCCTGGTTTCTTCAACAAACAGCATTTATAAGGGAAAAAGGAAGCACCAGCCTGTAAACCCAGAGACATCCTGCCAGATGTGGTGTGTGGATGTGGGGGAAATTTGAGTTCCAACTGCATGTTGGATGGTATCATGCCTTTGCCTCTAAAAGAATCCCTTTGTGGCAATGGAAGTCGGTGGTGATGGCATAGCCGAAGATGGGTGCCATTTTTTTATTTACTTCTATACATTTTATGACTGTGATTTGTGGCTTATGGATATTTTCATTTTTCCCTAAGTGTTGAGTTTTCCTCTCCTTTTAAAATTGTTTTTGCTGATTAAATTTATTCTTTGACAAATTCGTACATTTACATAGTGTATTCTGCTTACTCTCACCCCCACCCTCTTTCATCTCTCTGCCACCCCTGTCTTCTCCTCCTCTTCCCTACAAGTCTCTTTCCCACAGTCATGCCTTTTAGTTTTGTTTTTGACCCACTGATTTTAACCAGGAGTCTAGATGAGCACAGACATTGTTTGGAACTATCCATTGGAGCCCAGTGGGCTCACTATTGGGTATACAACTGAAGACAATGACTGTCCCTCCCACAGAGTCCATCAGTAGCCAATAGCTGAGCATGGAGGGCTAGACTGCTATGAACCTCTCTGTCTAACACTGACTGTTGACATAGCAATCTTGTGCAGCCCCAATGCAGGCAACTTTGGCTGATGCGAGACCATTTGCCATGGCTGTACCATGCCTTGAAGACAGCATTCCACAGTTCTTCTCTCTAACTTCCAGCTCTTACATTCTTCCACTTCTATGACGTCATCTGAACCTTAGAAGAGCTGGTACAAATGTCCTGTTTAGGGCCAAGCACTCAACCATCGTTTATTCCAAGCTCCTTGGTTACTTAGTCTAATCTACCTTGAGCAGCCATGAGTGTCTCTGCATTTACCGCCATTCACTGCAAATCCAAGCCTGATTAAAGCTGTGAGCAGCCTTTGTCTGTGTGGCCCGGGTGTGATGGGCTGTTTTCTATAGTACACGTTACCATGAGTCACTAAAGCCAGTGTGTGCTGCAGGTTTCTGCCTCCGCTGCTCCAGGCCTGGTGCCTCCTTTAGCCTAGCACCCTTCTGCAGAATAGATTCCCTTTCATGTGTTTGTAGTGTTTCCTTTGCAGACAGTCTTCCTTGTGCTCCTACCAGAAAGAAGGAGAAGCTGGTGAGGAAGGCAGAGCGGAGTCTCAACTCAGAGTCCTCAATAACAAATATAAACAGTGGTTGTGTGGGTCAAACGTGTAAAATAATGTATGCAAAAGAGTCTGCAGAGAGAGCATGCTATGTAAATGTAAGGCAAGACTGTTTTCAATTCTTTCTCCTCAAGAGAGGATTGTTCTTGGCTGCCAACCTATAAGAATATAAGAAATGGGAGTGAGGGGGAGTTGTTCAAACATAAGAGAAGTCTCTCTGACTTTTTGCAGTCAACCACTGTCTAATTCACTGACCTAAGGATGTTAACATCGGGTTCCAAGAACAGAACAGCTCAAGCTAATCTGCTAGCCACGCTCGGCGAGAGTGGTTGGGGGACAGGGAGAGGAACAGGGAGAATGGATGGGATCTGGCGAAGGGTTGAAATGTCGGAATCAGAGTTGGCTATGACCGGACATCTCATGCATCTGGGTCAGGCAGATGGCACAGCTGGATTTTCTGGCCCCAGACCAAGCCAGTACCCTGTTCAGAGCTCTAGACACAGGAGAGCCCAGCAGCAGACAACTGGCCAAAGAGACCCATTGCTTCTCAGGATTCGGGGGAATCTGGGAGTGAGGAGGTGAATCTGAACTGGCTTCTGTGGGACTTGAACCTTGTCCTCCCTGGTTCTTCCTTTACCCTAGTGTTGAATTTCAGTTATCCAGAGGTGTGTGCGACTGTAGTCTCTGGGGTTTAATGGGGCTCACTGAAGAGAAAACCAGTGTAGTAGGGAAACCCGGGTGAGCAAGTATCTGCAGCAGTGTGGGCAGAAGGCCAGGGCCTTTTCTCTGGACCCATTATCTAGGTGTTATGCATGGCCCAGTAACCTTTCCATTTTAAAAATGAAATTAAACTTATTTTAACATGTGCTGACGTGTGTGCATGAGATCATGCACACGCCAAAGAGCCCATGCGGATGTCGGAGGACAGTTCTCAGGGGTTGGTGCTCCACTTCCACCTCACTGAGGCAGGGTCTCCCCTGTTTCTGCTGTGTGTATACTCCAAGACAGCTGGTACCCTCACTGGGGATTGGACACTAGGCCTTGGATACAGTGAGGACACACTGCACCACTGAGCCACATCCCTGGCACCGTTTCCATGTTGTTCACATGATGGTAACGTCATCTGATGACCCATCTTTCAGAATGGACCCTGTCTGTAAACAATGTGGGACCTCAGATTGGAGGCTCCAGTCTTTGCCACCTTCCCAAAGAGTTTTACTTTCCTGGGGAAAGATGCCCACGGGCAAAGATGGCAGGAGAAAGGTCAAGGGAGCCTGACTACTCAGTGGTTAGACTTCTGTGAGCCACTTCTTTGTAGTTTTCAATCTTACCCTCCCGATGGGGTGCTTAGAGCCCTACGTCCACTGCCTCTTCCATTTTTTCCTCCTGAGA